CTTTGGCACCCAGGCACCCATCCCGCCAGGCCTGGAGCTACCCAGACCCAGGACGGGGAGACTGGGTGCTGGTGGGGGGTTGGTGAGGGTCCCTCATGCCATGCACCATCCCGTGTGCCCTGACAGAGAACGGGGAATGGGAGATCATCCACCGCCCGGCCCGCAAGAACATCCACCCTGACAACCCCCCCGAGAGCAGCGAGCATCAGGACATCACCTTCTACCTCATCATCAAGCGCAAGCCGCTCTTCTACATCATCAACATCGTCACGCCCTGCATCCTCATCGCCTTCATGGCCATCCTCGTCTTCTACCTGCCCGCCGACAGTGAGTGAGCCCCGTGCCAGGTGCGAGGGTCACCCCACGGGGCACCTCCATGTCCCACACCTGCACCAGGTTCTGGGACACACCAACGCCCAGCACGAGGGGATCATGGTACTGGGACAACCCCAAGCAAGACACCATCACCCCAGCCAGGCACCCGGGGCACAGGATACCCCACGTGGGACCCTGGGGTACCCCCATGACCCTATATGGGGCACTGTATGGAGGGACACTGCGGGGCTGGGAAGGGGGACATGGAGCAGGGTGTGGGCTGAGCTGCCCTGCTCTCCAGGCGGTGAGAAGATGACCCTGGTGATCTCAGTGCTCCTGGCCCAGTCTGTCTTCCTCCTGCTCATCTCCCAGCGCCTGCCCGCCACCTCCCACGCCATCCCCCTCATCGGCAAGTGAGTCCTGGGCATCCTCGGGTGCAGCAGAGACGTCGCAGGGGCCCATGGTGCCAGAGGGCAGCTCTGCCCATACTCAGCCCCTCTGGCAACGCCAGCCCCAGGTCTGTGCCCCACCCCCAGGTACCTACTTTTCATCATGCTGCTGGTGACGGCCGTGGTGGTGATCTGCGGGTGGTGATCTGCGTCGTGGTCCTCAACTTCCATTTCCGCACCCCCAGCACCCACATCATGTCCGACTGGGTCAAAGAGGTGAGCAGGGTGCTGGGGTGGGTGACCTGGTGGGCAGAGGGGTGGCACCGTGCCCCACGGAGG